TTGGGGCTCGCGACAAACTATCCGCTACCACATTCGCAGAACCTTTGCAATAAACTATTTGAAAATCAAATTCTTGCATATACATGGCCCAACGTGTAATACAAGTTGTTTTTAGTGAACAATGCATAATATAAGATAAAGCTTTGTGGTCGGTCACTATAAACAATGACCGCCCTACTACAAAAACTCGCCACATTCTTAAAGCATCTACAATCGCATAGGCTTCTTTTTCTGTAACCGTATAATTTAACTGCGGACCCTTCAAAGTTTTGCTATGATACGCGACAACTAAACGCTCATTGGAATCCGACATCTGATATAAGCAAGCTCCGATAGCTTTCCCCGAACTATCCGCTTGTATATAAAATGCTTTTTTGAAATCGGGATGATTTACCATAGTAATGTTTAAATATTTATCCTTGATTAACTCAAAAACGGCATCTTGTTCATTACTCCAAGCCCATTGAATGTTTTTGCGTAACCATTTTACAAGCGGAACTGTTAAATCGGCAAAATTTTCACAAAACCTATGATCATAGTTTACTAACCCGAGAAAACCCATGACTTCGCGAATATTTCGCGGGTTTGGAAAATTTTTAATAGCTTCTATTCGATTTGGATTTATTTCTATACCTTGAGGCGAAATTATATGTCCAACAAATTCAGTATTAGATTTAGCGAATGCGGATTTTCGCAACTTAATTGTCAAATTAGAGTCGTAAAATTTCTCAAAAATCACAGATAAGCGTTTTAAATGAGTTTCAGCATCTGGTGAAAATATTAAAATGTCATCAACATAAACAAGAGTAAAAGACAAAAATAGCCCACTTTGAAAACGTGACAACAATTCGTCCATTCGCGGCGGGAGAATGTGAAATTTTTCCATTTTACTGTTTAAAAATCGAGCGTCTAAACATATCCAAATAGATTTGTCCTTTTTTCTTACAACTGTTAAAGGCGATACATATTCTGTTTGTCCCTGTTCTATAATACCCATTTCTACCGTTTCATCAATTTGACGTTTTGCCTCAGCGCGGTACGCCAATGGAATTGGGTAAGAAGCTTTAAAAATGACGTGGAGTTGCGCATTTTTATTTCGTGTTCATATTTCGTTGTTAGTCCGGGCGTTTCAGAGAAAATTTGGCTAAATTTGCTTAATAGTAAATATAATTTATCTTTATGTTCTTGATCAAATACGTCTGATTTGTTTGCTACGTCTCTTAGTTCTAAACCTGATTTTTATTTTGTTTTTCAAATTTAATTGGTATTTGCATTGTTCGAGTACCAATGCAAATCAACATTCGGTCAAAGTCTACTTTGACCTTCTCCGCCCTCATCCAATCTGTACCTAAGATTAAATCCTGATTTAGCGTACAATTTCAACTGGAAGTAAAACCTGAACTTTTACCTTAATACTTTTCCCCCCAAAAACAGCAGAAATGTTCATATTAGAGATTGGTAATACTCGTAAATTTTTGTTACCCCCCCTGTAACTTTTTAAAGAAAGATTCAGATATGGCACAACACTGACTACCTGAATCAACTAATACGTCTATTTTCTGGTCAAATATCAAAGTTTAAATTATCGGAGACAACATTTCTTGTTCCTCTGCGGAGTCACTTTCATCCCCGTCACTCAAAAGCTCCTCGGGCCTAGTTAAAAATCGAACATTTCGGTTTCCGCTACCGTCCCCTCTCGCATTATCATTTTTGGAATCTCGCGGATTACTCGTATTTTGATTTTCCTGTCTACTCGGTGGTAAATTTCGACTTTGATATTTGTTAAAACTAACATTTCTAATATTTTCCCCTGATCTACGCGACCTTACTCCCTCAAACGTATCATACAATTTCCTTAAATAGCGTTCGACTTCATCTATTGTTTTCAAACCCGCAATAAATATCCCTCTTTGTATATCGGCTGAAAAATGTTTTACGAGATATTCTACTAGTTGGTCTTCGGATAGGTTTTCAGTTAAAAACGCGGCTTGGGCTACTTTTTTCAAAAAATAATCAGCTCGATTACCTGATCTGAACTCGCCATATTTAATTTCGAAGAATAACTCGCGCTCTTGATTCATTCCCCAATATCTGTTTTTAAAACAGTCACGAAACTCTTCCCAATTTTTAAATGAACTTTCCTTAGCGAATCCCCAATCTACCGCGGAACCCCTCAAGGTCGTTAAAGCCAAAGAAACCTTACTTTCCTCCGGAACTTTTGCATCGTTTAAAAATTGCGTTAATTTTTGTCAAGTTCGAACCCCCCAATTCACGCCACAAAGATATATAATTTTTGTCGTTAGTCGCAACTTGCGATTTTTTAACAGAATTCGCCACCCTGTGGGCCAACTGCGCGATACTAACTTGCATTTGTTTCATGCCATCCGCTAATTTACTCACGACATCCTCCAAACTCGAATTTGGAGTCATAAACTCAACCGATTCGAAATCATCGTCATCTATTTTTCCACTTTGTTGTTTATTACATTTCTTTTTATAAGGCATTTTGAAGTAAACAGTATAAAAATTTTCCTTTCAACCAACCACTTAGTTATTTATGACGCAACCCAATATGTATCTTACATAAATCATCAAAGGTAAGAAAGAATCAAGTTGGTATATATTCACGAAATCGTCTCGCCTCTCCGTCTGAACTGCGCGTCGCGTCGCGTCCGCCGTGCCTTTGATGTGCGCTATAACGCCGCCTCGCATACGCTGTCGCTGATCAACGGCGATGGAGACTCGTGCAGGAACCAAAACGATGGTGTATAAAATGTACTCACAGCTTTCAACACACACACTCCGAGAGTGTGTCGTGGGTTCTACGGAGGTAAATAAGGCACAAAATTTGAAAACTACCAAACTTTTATTGAACGTAACACTACAAATTTCTAAAGGAACAATAATAATCACTGGACTTTCTTTATCCCCAGGAACTTCGTCCTGTGGAACGTCTTCCGCCCGTCCCCTCACCCTTCACGAACCGACTTTTTAACCGGGGACTGCAAATATCCCTTGTTGCCGCACTTCACCTTTAATCGCGCACCACAAACTGAAGGCTCTCTTTATCTCTTTTAAACGACCAGCGTCCAGTAGATGATAATATTTTTAAGTCAGCAAAAATTTAAAAAAGAACAGCAGACGAGGATATGTCATCCATATTCACTACGCAATTGGGAATGGCGACATCAGGTGTTACAAAAATTTCGATCAGTGTGCAAAGCCTATTGTTACTCCGGTAGGTAAGTCAATTAACTGAATTAAACCGAACCTACTTAGACAGTTGTTAAGCTTCATTCGACCCCCAAAAACTAACCAATCTGGAATCAAAATACTTAGAGTTTTCTCTAGAGCCTCAAAAAACTATATTACACTGGCATACGGAAGGCTGTAAAGCAAAAAAAATCTAAAAACAATTTCATTTTTACTAGCGGTGCATATGGCAGCCCGGACTTTTGCTTCAGTTAGTTGAGTTACAAGTTATTTTTTAATTTATTGAGAGGTTGTTTTAGTTTTCTCAGAATCACTTTATAACTCTATACCCTGCAGGAAAGTCCACACTTTACTCTAGATGTTGACAGTAACAAGGGATTTTGAAGTCAGCAAATTATGTGATTTCTAAGAAAGTTTAAAAAACCTACTTTTCTTTATTTGCAATTTTTTACTAGTCCAATGTTAAAAGCTGCAATGCAAATTATCTGCCCTTGTTTGCTGATTTGAACATAAAAGCCAATTTTATATACAGGGTGTTTCAGAGCAAATACGAAAAATGTAAGGGGGTGATTCCTTGTTCGAAATAAAGGGTGGTTTGTTATATGAACGTTGGATCACAAGCCAACCATAATCGGGATATCAATATGGCGAAAATATGGCGTTTCTATTTTTTAATCCCAAAAACGAAAATTAATAAATGTACGAAATATTACCTACGAATTACTATGATAAAAGCATACCCTGTGCATTTTTTTAAATATTTTTTTTTAATTGGTGGCAGGGATTGAATGATACTACCCCTATCATTCTTGACAAAATTTTCATTTAGATTTTCATTTTAAAGATTACTTTAGGCAAACGCTAAATATTATTCCGCTTTGGTCTGATAATCATGTCTTCTTGAAAAAAAATCATTGTTAATTTAAATAATAAGCAATTTCGGAAAGATATGCTAAACGAAAGCTATTGGAGATTGTAAATTAAACTCCACAGAATTCATATGAGCGCAAGTAAAAGGATTTATAGCAAGGCATAACACGACTTTTAAAATGAGGGACGTTCAAATCCTCCTGCAAGAAGAAATAAAGACAGGAGACTATGAAAAATTGAGTAAGTGCATCGAACGAAATACTCGGAACATGACTAAATATTATTTTCAAGTCTTCTGGATCGAACTTGCCGACATTTCGTCAGTAATTGGAATTGGTTACCCTGCACCTTTTTAGATACCGTTTGAGGGGAGAGGAGCTAAAGTAAGGACATGAACATTGTCTTGGATGATTGATTCTCATATTATTGGAACATGACCTGAATCGCGGTTAAGATTGTTTGGTTATTTCCATGGTTTCTCGGATTTTTTGATTTTATGTTGGTAGAATAATATAATGAATGAAAGAACTTAAGTTTGGTCAATAACTTTTAGCTATTTTTTTATTGATAAACTTAAGAATGAAATTATAAAAGTGTATAACTTAACAACAAGTTCGATTCATCAACAATAAATGCAGGAGGAATTCAGCTGATTCGTAAATAACCTTTAATTTGTCTAACCTATTTAATGAACCCTGTCATTGCAAATATACGTTTGTGTGGTTACTCAAAGTTATTTAAAATTAAAAATAATACAATATATGTTTGGTCGTGTGAAAATAGAAGGCTTATCAAAGCCCCTGATACTGGTTATAATTTCTTGTACTTACTTTTGATTATTATATAATAAAAGTTGTTAAATGCGCAATAAAAAATAATAGTTTTGCTTCTTAGCTAATATATTTTCTTTGTTTCAGATGGTTGGTTGCCCTAGTTGAGAGCTGTAGAATTACCAAATAAAGCAGAGAACTAAAATGTAAGTACAATTTTAAGTATGATTAGAATATCTTTACATGTGTGTTCAGAAGCACGGGCGGTGGCTCCAAAATTTCAAAATAAAAAACTATACAGTGTGATTAATAAAAGAAGCAATTTTTTCAAATAACTTTTTCTATATACTTAACAAACCCAATAAATCGTACAATTCGTTAACAACAGAAGTTTTTTTGTTTAATATCATAACAAATTTTTTTGATATACTGTTAGACCAGGTAGAATGCTGCAGGTCTGCCTCAAGACGTGATCCAAAGAGTTCACTTTTCTGCGTTGCTTTTACAACCCTATTTTACTAAATTTATTCTGGTTACGAGTGAGTTAATCAGCCACGCAGTTTTCTAGACAGACTTTCTTTAAATGTTTGGACTGACATTGTTCACGGCAAGCTTATTCTCCCTTTGAAACTACCTGACCCAATGAATGGTTTAGACCTAAATTTCTTGCAACATAATTTTCCGGAAACTCTTGACGGCGCACTATGGTTCTCCAAATGAACAAAACTGATCAAATCAGCAATGGTCCAAATTTATTATAATAAAATATTGGTAACTTGAAAACCTTTCATTAAAAAAATATGCCAAATCGTGACCGTATCATGAAGTGATAGATTGATTTAAAACTTAATCTAGCTAACCCCGTACCTACGCTGTTTATTTTTATTGACTGTTTGTTATGAAACATTTTGTTGACAGTTTGTTATAAAAATGACTTTGGTGACTAACTTTTTTTCATGAATATTATAAAACAAGGTAAGTTTATTAATTTTAAGTGTTAAGAATGATTAATTTATATAGCATTTACATTATTAATACAAAATTATTGAAAAATGTTTCGAGGCCTTTCCGGAAATCATTTTTGTAGTTTGCCTTGACTTTGCGGGTAGTTTTTGCTACTTCTTTTTTAATCATTATCTACTTTCACTGAGACATTGGAAAAATATACTTTTTTGGCGCTGCTCTTGGACAATTTGCCATCACATTAGTTTTTAATAGGTAAATTCCAGACAAAAACACAATAACACCCAAGGCTCCAGGTGAGAATCGAACCTACAACATCCGGCAAGTTGGAGTTGGTAGGTCAACGCCTACCAACCGAGCCATCCTCGGTCCGCAAATCCCATTCTTTTCAGGTGCATCATATCGATGTTCATTATATAGAATGGGTATTTTTAAGATATGGTGGACAATGACTGGATCTCTGTCACGAATTTCTGCCATCGATAACTCTATGGCTAAGCTGACTACATTTTATTAAGCAGTCTTATTAATGCCAAAATAACCACACATCACAGAAAGAGGTGATAGACTCTACTTCAAATAATCAAAACCAAAATTATTAGGAAAGTAGCTATTTGACGGTAGTGGTGCTTATTCGGAATACGACCAGTTTTTCAAGATCGAAAGATGTTATATATGTAGTTCAAGACCGAAAGAAATGATTGGTGTTTTCGATATTTCATCCATCTTTTGGAAAGACTAAATTAGAAAAAATACCAAATACGATCTAAAATGAAAAGCAACTTTTGTCTGACAGAAAAAGTTATATTCAATGTGACTTCAGAAATAAATTAGGTTTAATAGTGGACAAACGAAAATGAGGAGGAAGTGGAACTTCCAACGATGGAAATACCGCAAGAACATTTTTTAAACATATAGATAAATCCTTAGAAGACACAGGACTGAACATGAGTTTTTTAGAAAGATGATCTGTAATTTTAAGGTCAATTTCATCAGGATACAAAATTAATATTATGAAGTTTAAAGAATTTTCTCTAACTGCGCGGTTACTTAACTGAATATTCAAGGAATAATTTTTTCTCCCTCTAATTCACATGTTGCTGAGGTTATCGAAAAACTCATATTATCCATTGATGAACTGTCAGAAGAAGCTGCTGAAGCTTAAAATAAAGAATATAAATTATTTCGATTAAATTACGCTCGAAAAATGTCTCGTACAAAGCTTTAAGTTTTAAATATTTTCTATTTTATAGATAATATTTTATATTTAGTATTTTAAATTATTACTTGGTTTAGATCCCTTAATAACAGAATTAAGGATTCTGCCGCCAAAAACTTAAACTCGTTTTCCGAATGGAATTCTAGATTTGTTAGATGAATAGTCTAAAATATTGTTACAGTAGTTTTGACATGATCAATCATAAATAGCTTATTTCAATTTTACACTACATTGGGTTTAGTGCATGCGTGTTTATAAATTCGATTATATCCGATAGAGTTTAACAATTCGGCGACAATGTGTATTCACCGCTCTCCGTTGAGTTAGGTGTACCACAAGGTAGCATCTTGATTTCCTTGTGGTATTGAATTTTGAATTTGAAATTGAACGTTTAACTTTGTAAAGATTTTAATATATTGTAATTATGCTGACGATACTCAAATTTATTTTTCCTTTCAAAATCATGAAAAGACGCAGAAAATTAACACTAATTTAAAGACCTTCTATAAAAATTTAGAATGGCATACGGAAATGTAAAGTTAATACAAAGAAACAACTTTGTCAATTTATCGTGTTGTCACAGTTCAATCATCGCTGTGGTGTTTACGCAACCTGACTTAATTGCTGCATTATATTTCAAACTAATTAAGAATGTATCTCCCGAATATCTTTTTAATAAAATCACTTTTCGTACAGATGGTCATCACTTGGTTCTAAGAACAAATTTTATATTGAGAATATCACAACATTGAAAAGTAATGTTCAAAAGATCATTTTCTTTTAGTATTAGCACAAAAATATTTTCTTGGAATGCAGTAATTTTCTGTTTTTCTGTATCGGAAAACTACACTGCGGTTTACCCTTGTCACTTCGAATTTCCTTTCCCCTACGACTTCTCTCTTTATGGAAAACAATATTTAATAATTGGTGTATTGGTAATATTGTTTATTTTCTATTTTTTTGTTCTTTGTTACATTTGTTATACATTAAATTGAAGCTTGAACCCTGTCGGGCTTTCCAGGATGTCTAGGTTATAGGGCTTTTATTTGCCTTAAAATTGGCACCATCTAATATTTTCTAGTGTAATAGTATGTATATTTGGAACAACAATAAACTTATTTATGATTATATTATTAGTATTATTATTATTATTATTTTGCTTCGTTGGCAACGGATCTCGTCAGTTTTTAAATAAGTTTAAAATATTTAGCGGCGAATTTGGCGCTTGTTACAACCTCTCGAAGACACCTGCTCAAAATCTTGTTAAACTACGAACTTCATTGTTAGTAATTCATTTAACTTGGGAATTTACCATGACGACATGTTGCATTTCGGTCGGTCAAGAAACCGCTTACATTCCTCCCTCAGAGGCAATAAATTCTCGGATGTTGTCGGCTTGATTAATTGTTTCCTATCTAACAGCCTTCCATAAACACGAAACCAGCAAATTTATTTGTTGAGCTCTTGTAATACTGCGGCAACGTTTGTGGTCTGCTGGAACCGCATAATTTTGGAGAAGTAGTTTTGTGATGACTCCGAATTATTAAAACGCTTTGTGTATGATTTATCATCTAAATCGGGTTAGCTATTTCAAACAAGATTATCTGAATCCAACCGTTTATAAAATTATTCCGTATTTTTTTATTAATAACGTTACTACTCTTCGTGTGCGTTTTGCAAAACAAACAAAATTTCTTCTTTACAAATAGGAAAATTTTTAATTTTTATTAATTTTACGAAAAAAAGTGCCTCTCCTTGGTGAGAAAATAAATTTGAACAAGAACATTTGTATGTTGGACATGGCATCAAAAGTAACAGGTTCCAAATTAATTTCAATAAGACTAACGAACTTATTTTGAAGTTTTCAAAATGTTCGCCAGGGGGTGTAGATAGATAGATAGATTCATTCATTTATTCACTACGTTTCGTACAAAAGGGACGTACGATTGTAGCAAGTCAGAAGTGATATTCAAGTGCAATAAAATCAAATTAATAAATAACATAAAAACACACATCTAATACAAACAAAATTAGACAGTACTATACAGTTTTATAGCGCATCGATACCAGTTACAGTGTCAATGTATGCTCGCAGGGAGTAAAAACAATGACGTTGCAGGAATTCTTTAATAGTATGTTTAAATTTTCTATTGCTCATCTTTTTCACGGTACCTGGCAAAACATAGGCCGTCTAAGGAGATCCCCGAACGAGTTGAATAGGCATGGCAATCGGAATTAGCGCTAAAGTTTCCTTTCGTTCTCTGTATCTCTAATAACTGGTAGTAGATATAGATGCAAGGAAGGGGCATCACTTTGAATTTTTTAAAATAAGGTTGACAATGGTCCCTATATCCTATATTAGCAACGACTCGAATGGCCCTTTTCTGCATTCTAAAAATCTCCACAGCAGCTGAGGAATCACCCCACAGTACCGTGCCATAGCATAAGTGTGAATGCAACAAAGAAAAATAGGCCCTAAGCAGAGTCCTTGTTCCTATCAGGCCTCTCAGTCGTCGAAGAACGAATATGTTGCTGGACAATCTATTTTTCAGGTCTGAGATATGTTGTTTCCAATTTAGACTATCATCGATCCTAATGCCAAGCAACTTGACGGACTGTCCACTATTTACCAAGCAATTGGAGGAAAACACAATACTCTGGGTCTTGTCTAAATTTAATTTAAGATAATTATTTTCGAACCAGACATTAGCCCTGTCCTCCAACATGCCAACCCTAACGGACAACTCCTCGATACTCTTAGCAGATGTAGTGAAGGATGTATCGTCGGCAAACATCACGCACTGATTGGGAGCCAAGAAATGATAGATGTCATTTATGTAGATTGTAAATAGTAGCGGGCCCAGGACGGAACCCTGGGGCACCCCGCTTACTACTGATTCAAGTGATGAACGGTCATCCTGGTATTCTACAAACTGCTGTCGGCCCTGCAAGTAGGACGCTATAAGATCTAAGTGCAGACCTCGTATACCATATCTGTGTAGCTTTTTAATAAGAAGCTGGTGA